GGGGAGGAGGGGAAGGAGGGAGACTTGGAAAGTCCTCCCCAGAAAGTGGTGCTTGAGCTGAGTTTTGAAGGAAGCCCAGAGGGGAGGGAGAAAGGCATTCCAGGCAGAAGCACAGCCAGTTCATAGGCCCAGAGATGGTAGAACATTGTGTTCAGGAATAGCAACAAGGCCAATGTTGCTGGTTCATAGTGTGTGTGGAGGGGCAACATGGGAAAGTACTGGCTAAGTAGGAAGGGGCCACATTGTAAAGAGCTTTAAAAGCAGAACAGCAGACTTTGTACTTGGTCCTAGAGGTAACAGGGAGATCCCTGAAGTTTACTGAATAGGAGAGTGACGTGGTCAAGCCTGCTCTTTAGGAGGGAGACCAACCAGGGGGCTGATGTAAGCCAAGCTTGCTATGGTCCACACAAGAGGTGTGGTCACTCTGTGAGTGAAAGGAAGGAAATGAATAGGTTTGACAGAAGATTGGGAAGGGGGAGGAATAAGGAATTCAGCTTAGGACATCAGATGTCCAATTTATGCTCAAAGGGCAGTTGGTCATGTGGGAAGGGAGGTCAGGAAAGAGGTTAGAACTGAGAATATATACAGATCAGGGAATCATCTGCATTGGGATAATTAAATCCATGGGAATCGGTGAGGTCACTAAGTGCAAGTATAGAGGGAAAAGAGAAAAGGAGCTGATCCAGAGCATTGGGGGATACCCACGGTTAACAGGCATGACCTTGATAAAGATCCAGCAAACAAAGACAGAAGGAACCGTCAGACAGGTGGGAGGAGAACCAGGAGAGTGGAAGAGCCTTGAGAATTCCTCTAGTCTAGGAGGACTTGCCCAAAATCCCACAGATGGTAAGTGGAAGAGCCAGGGTTTGAATCCAGATCCAGGAATCTTTCCCCTGCGCCATGTTATCCCTCCCAGGCCTGTCTGGGCTTCCAAAGAAAGGTTATTTTACCAGGGAAAACAGCATGGACATGAACAGCAAGTCAGTATGAAATGTATACAAAGTAATTGGAATGGGGAAAGAGTCCTAAGAGGAGTGTGTGCTTGAGTCTAGAGGCAGAAGTGAGCCACTGAAGTTTCCGAAACAGGAGAGTGACATAGATCTGTGCTTGTGGAGTATCAGTTTGGGAAACGCTTTTGTACCAACAAAATCAATGCAGCTGGGATCAGAAGAGAAGCTGTTAATTGGGAAAAAACATCTTTGCAATAGATGTCTCAGATAAGAGTCTGGTAGCCAGCAGCTTATCTAAGGAGCTAACTCAGATATCCTAAGAGCCAGTACCATTCTCCAGTGGACAAGTAATCAAAAAAAAAAATTGATTTCAAACTATTAACCATATGGCACCGATAAGAGAGATGTAAATCAAATAAACTCCAAAGTTTCACCTCATACCCAGTAAATTGGCCAAATAAAGACTAAAAAATGGGAATGATCCGTGTTGGAGGGGTTATGGAAAGAAGCACACACTAATACACTGGTGTTGGTGGAGCTGTGAATTGGCCTGATCACTCTGAAAAACAACTTGAAATTGTGTTTTAAATGTGATTCGAATGTGCAGACCCTTTGACTGTCGCCACACCATTGAAGTCCCGTCCAAAGGCCACACATACAACCAAATGTTTATAGCCGAACTTTTTGTGGCAGCAAAGAACTGGAAACAGTAATTATCCATGGACAGCTGTGGTTCACGAGTGGAATGGAATCTCCTGCTAAGCCGGTGGAAATTACAAATATGAAAAATTCCTAGATGAGTGGGAAGTCCTAAGGACTGATGGGGAGAGAAATGGGCAGAGTCGGGCAGGGACCACTGACATAGTATCTGTGGAAGGAACAACGCTAACCCATGAAGAAGGACTAAGGGAGGAAAACTTCTCTTCTTCCCTCCTCTCCAGGGAGGGGATGTTCCATAGTGGATAAGGCGTGGCTGAGTGGTTGATCTGGCTCCATAGCCTTTCCCTCTTTTTTATCTTTGTTTCTGGGGACAATGAGCTTGAGGAAGGGGCGGAACATATTCAGAAATGGAGATGATAGTTTAAAAAGAGGCACAAAAAAGACAGACAGCAATAACAATGTTTACACTAAAAATGTGGGACTTCTACTTTGGCAGCTGTGTGGGCCGAGTAGAGAGGGGAGAGAGTTGGGGCAGGGAGGCTGAGGAGGAGGCTGTTGCAGTAATACAGGTGAGAGATGACGAGGGGCTGGACTAGGGGGTAACTGAGGGTTTGGTGTCAGGGACGCAGCATTTAGTGCAGTCCCTGGCACATAGTAGGAGCTTAGTCAATGGTTAATACACCTAGAAACAAGACTGAGCCACAGACTGGCTGTGAGAGGGAGGAAGTTGAGAGAGACACCAACATCGAGAGCCCAGATGGTGCTTCGTTATTTTGCGTGAGTTTCTGTTAGCCCTCTTCTGGGCTTTAGGAATTCTCCATGGGTCAGCGTGAGTTAAGACCAGGGGGACGACGGTATCACCAGTCCAGCTTCCAGCCTCGGCCGGCTGTGGGTCTCTGGAGCTGCCCCGTCTCCCATTAGGTGACTCACTCATTGCTGTGTCCCCAAGGCGGGGTGATGGGTAGGTAATTGCTTAGCTGGATGAAACAAGCAATATGCCCAGCCCTCAGGACCTCCATTCATTCAGGCCTGCCCTGTAGCCAACCTAGGACCCCCAGGCCTCCCCATGCTTGTCCTTCCTGGGTCTGAGCAGCCTTGAGGCCTGGACCTCAATTATTTGAGCCCCTCCTTCCAGAAGTGCTTGTCGTTTTCATTGTAGAACCTCAAACCAACATGGGGAGGATATAATTAGGGGTTGGGTTTGGAATTCCTGCTGGCGCTGCACATGTGGGCGCCACAGTCTCCTCTTCCCATCTCCGCTCTGCACACGTAGTTTGCCCAGAGTTTCCAGCTTCTGCTTTCCAGGGTGGTCCTGCCCCACCAAGGGCTAGGCTGGTTGCAAGCCATCCTCAGTTGGGAAGTTCATCATTCCGCTTCCTGGACTCTTCCTGCCTCATTTGGGAATTTTCCCAGGCCCTGGACTGCATGCTTCCCCTTGTTTTCTATAGTCTTTGCTTTTTAGCTCTGCTACTTTGCCATAGGGAAGAGGCAAGATAGGGTTTAGGAGGCCAGGCTTGCTCTCGCCTCCAAGCCCCAGCTTGTATGTCCTGGGATGGAGCCTTCTTAGCTGGGCCTCCCCCCCAGAACAGGCCAGGCACACCCAGCCCACACAAGAACAAGACTGTGTTGGGGCTCTTTTCCCCTTTCATGCAATCTCTGACCTTTTAGAAAAACAAAACAGCGATAAAGAAGGGCCTGGAATGTTACAGGCTGTGTCCATTTGTCTCTGGATTTCTTTTGAGGTTTGTTGTTTACAATGCCCAGGGGGGAGGGGGAGGGGGAGGGGGAGGGAGAGCGACGTCCGGCCAGGCTGGCCAGCAAGCTAGGCCTTCCTGAGAGTGGGGCCGTTTCCGGGGCGGGGGGGGGGGGGTCTCCTTCGGTGGTCTGCACCTTCAGTCCTTGTAAACCTCCCCCAGGCCTCCTTGGTCAGGAGGCCTCTTTGCCAGTTCCCTCCCTTCCTGATACCGCTTCCCATTTTTCCCCATCTCTGTCTTACATATATGCACTGCTGGTGCGGGAATATACAGGATCCTAGGTTTGGGGCTGAGGGTCCTCAGAAGCTGTCTGGTCTGACCCCCTCATTTTATAGAGGAGGAAAACAGACCCAGAGAGGCGGTACGTGACTTGCCCCAGATCACAGGGCTGTCTGAGCTGGGATTTGAACCCACGTTGTCTGACTACTGATAATAACTCACATTTGCATGACTCTTTAAGGCTTACAAAGGGCTTTACATCCATTATCTCATTTGGTTCTCACAACCATGTGAGGTAGGCCCTGTTATATCCCCATTTTATAGATGGAGAAACTAAGACTGAGGGAAGTTCAGTGACTTGCCTAGCATCACAGATCAGTAGGTATCTGAGGCAAGGTGAGGGCAAGGTGAGAACTTGGGTCTTCCTGAATCCAAGCTGGCAATCCTAAAGCACCACCTCAGATGCCCCACAGGAGGACTGCTGCCCAGACCCAGCCAGGGGCAGCCAGCACATCCTGGGCTGGGAAGGGCTCAGGAAACTCCATGTGCACCCCTCGGCTTTAGAGGCACAAGACAGTGTCAGTGTCCCCTTTCTTTGCTAAATGAAGGTGGCTCCTGTTAGGAGTCAGATGTTGAGAGTCAAGTGGATATTACCACTTGCACATACATACTAATGCATACACAAGTCAGGATGGGAGGAAGTCTTCACCCAGCTCATCTGAAGATTGCGCTAAGTTTCCATTTGAGTGGTTTGAGCAGCTCTGTGTCCCCTCTGTGCCTGGCAGAGCCTTAGGGTACAGAGATATTAGGGTGAGGCTTTGGGAAGTGACATTGACTGACATTGAGCCACACATGATAAAGGTCATTTCTCCGCCTGAAAGCTGCTCTTCTCCGATGCCAGTAGCCTCTCCTGAGGTGGCTGTATAACAGTACAATTCAGGGAGCCCTCACTGGCTGGCGCAAATATGAGGAGATTGGGCTTGACCCAGATGTAAAATCTGCTGTCTCCCGATTGCTACAAATAGACAGGGCTAGATTGTAGTATTGGGTTGACATTTGGGGCCCAGTTTAGTTAGAGGGTAGGCATCTGATGGGCAGAAGTTAGAATCCATCCCATTCCCTCAGCCTGCTGGTTCCTAGGGGGTGTGCCAGCTGGAAATCCTGTCCAAGTTGGCCCCCTCCCAGCTCAGGCTTTGCTCATTCTTTATGCTGGTCTGCTGGATTTGGCCCATGGCTAATTGGGCCTGGCTTCCAGGTGTGTGTGTGTGTTCGAGCATACCCACATGGACATACAAGCACATGTACCCGGGGCTTGTTTGGGTCTCCCCAAAGGGAAGAGGGGGAACTAATCCTGAGTCTGGCCCTGGACTGCTGGCACCTCAGGCTTCTCCCCAGTGACCAAGCCTCTATGTTACAGGTGCAGCATCCAGGGCAGTGTGATCTGTAACAATGCTGTCATCGAGAAAGGTGCAGATGTCAAGGATTGCCTCATTGGGAGTGGTCAGCGGATAGAAGCCAAAGGTAAGACCTGGAAGCAGCCTAGAAGGGCTGGAGTGGGGGGAAGTGGGGGAGAGATGACTGAGTACGTAGGACATGGTAGAATTACCAAGACACACAGGCCAGTGCAATGTCAGTGTCAGAAAGGAGAATGGGGGCCAGATAGGAAGGCAGGGTCTGAAGGAAGGGAGATTCTGTTGGCAGTGAGCCTGCCTGACCTTCTCCAGCCTCCTTTGGAATGTGGCTGCAGCACTGTCACAGATATGTGGCTGAGGGGCTGATGGCTGCCAGGGAGGTAGTGAGGTGCCTAATCCCTCACTAGGCATACCTCCTGCTCCCCCAGGAGAGGAAAAGTGCCCAGAAAAGAATCCCAGTAATGCCAGTGCATTTCTTCTGAAGCTCCTTCGAGAATTTCAGAGTCAGGATCTCAGGTGCCTAATCCGCCCAGCATCTCCCCAGGAATCCCTCCACAACAACCTTATCATCCTTCCCTGCAGTGCTTAGGCTGAGCTTATGCATAGGGAAGGAGGACTTGATACCCTTAGAGACCCCTTCTCACTCTAGTCTGGGTTCTGGGAGGAAAGTTCCCAGAGGTAGAGGTGTCCTGAGGCCATCTTCAGCTTGGAATCAACCAGGCAGAAGGAGGAGGAGGTTTTGTGGGCTCTCTTGAAACCAGCATGAGTAGTTTTTAAAAATATAACTGGGGGTCCCCACATTCCAGCCATGGTTCCTCTACCTCTCATCCTAAGCCTTTAGGTGACCTAGAAATGGGGGGGTCTTCGATGCTTCCAGAAATCCAAAGCATCCCTATCCCGTCCTCTCCCACAGCCTTGTCTTCCCCTACCAGCTTAGTTTGTCTCTTGCTTTCTCTGCCAGCATTGAATTTGGGACCTCCTTCTTCGCCCCTTTTGTTTGTATTGAAATGCTTCATGCTTTGAAAAGCATAACCGCACAGCCCCACCTTCCCAGAGGCAGCAGCTTCCTCCCAGTCTAGCAGAACAGCAGCTCTGGGGCAGCCAAGGACTGTTTCCCATTTGGTATAAAGGGTTTCTAAATTAGGGGATGTAATGGAGTGAGTAACACCGTGCAGGGCTGCCTCTCAGGGCCCCAGCTCCCTGGTGGGCCAGTGCCTGGGGCCTGGGCTACCCTCCCTTCCTCAGCCTCCTGTGGTGTCCAGAGCCCAGCAGCTGCCTGCCTGCCTGCCTGCCTGCCTGGGTTTAATTTCAGCATGCCAGAGCTGTGGGGGGAATTGGGGGCCGAGCAGGCCAAGCCTTCCCTTATCCAGCCTGAGGCTGACCCCTCTGCTGACCTCCAGTCTCCCATCTAGAACTGGACGGCCTGTGCACATCTTCCACCGAACTTGTCCAAAGCAGAGCTCTTTAGCTGCCCCCCTGAGCTGCCCCCCTACTTCCTCCCCACCCTCCTCCCACCCCTCATCTAAGCTGTTGCCGAGACCTGTCCATTTTCCCTTTGCAGTGTCCCTTGAACGCAGCTCTGTCTCTCTGACATCACCCCTACCCTGGTGCGGGCCTTCATCACCTCTCACCTTGTATTGCAGTAGCTGCCAGCAGGTCTGCCTGCCTTGAGCCTCTCCCCACTCTAGTCCCTTCTCCATTCAGCTACTAGTGTGATTTCCCTGAAGTGCAGCTCTGAACTGTATTTTACCCCGATACTCAGTCAACTCCCGTGGCTGCCTATGGCCTCCAGGACCAAATGCAAAGTCCTGTTTGTCATTCAGGCTCTTCATTTCATAACCTGTTTCCCCACACACCTTTTGGGCCTTCTTCTACCTTACACTCCGGTGCAGGCCCCCTCCCCCCCCCCACCCGACACACACACTCACGTTCTCTGTGATTCCTTGACACTAACTGGCTTCCTTCCTATTCCTCGTACAAGACACTTTGCAACTCCAGGCATTTTTATTGACCGTGCCCCAGGCCTGCGGTGTCTCCCTCCTGGCTTCCTTTAGGTTCCAGCTAAGTCCCTCCTCCTTTCCCAGTCCCCTTAATGCTACTGCCTCTTGACTATCTCCCATTTCTCCTGTGTCAGTCTTGTTTGTACATAGCTGTTTGCATATTGTCTTCCCCGTTGGACTGTGAGGGCAGAGACCTTATTAACTTTCTGTGTGTCCCCAGCACTTAGCCCAGACCTGGGCACACAGCAGCTGCTTATGCCCGTTGCTGGACTAAGACAGACTTGAGGTGGGCAGTGCAGGGCCTGACCCCAGCCTTCCTGGAGTTCTGGGAGAGTCCTGGCCATGAAGTTGGTTGCTGAGCTAGGAGGCACATCTCCCTTTCTTTACATTAGCCCTCTTGAGAGCAGCAGTATGGCGATCACCCACACAGGCATAGGAATCAGCTGCCCACATTATCACAGCGTGACAGTCGCAGAGCAGAGATTCCCACAGAGGGCCAAGGACTCCAGATTCAGACCATCAGCAAGCATCTATTAAACACCTACTGTGTGCCCAGTCACTATGGACACAGAGTCATCAGTGAACCCGTTCTTGCCCTTAAGAAGCTTCTGTTCCATCGAGGGAGATAGAGCATGCATGAATAAGTAGAGGCAGGGTCACGAGGGGGTGGGGAGGACTGGCCTCTGCGGGGCTCAGGAAGGCCTCCTCGTAGAAGGCAGAGCTTGCAGCAGACTCCGGGGATGCAGCGGTGAGGGGGGCAGCATGCCAGCAGCTCTTGCCTGAGCAGCCACTGTAGGCTGGGGGCTGAGCCCACCTTGGAACCCAGCCTGCCAGCCTCAGCCACCAACTTTGGTTGCCTCAATTTGAACCTTGAAATTCCTTAATTCCCTTCCAGGATCTTGAATCTCTCTGGCACCTTCAGAAACAGATTGGCCAGGCTTTGGGTTCTCTCCCCCCTACTGCCTCAGCTTATTAGGCACCTGTGAGGTACAGAGAGTGGTGCTTGGCAGTGGGAGAGGTTTACAATTTAGAAAGGATATGGTCCCTGTCTTCTTGGGGTTCCATCAGGAAATCAGTCAGTCCCCAAGCGTTTATTAAGCTCCTACAATATACACAGAAGCAATAGGTACATATAAAAGTATAACTGGCCTTGCCCTCAGGGGGCTTATAGTCTAACAGGAGACAACAGAGACACAGAAAAGTACATATAGAAGAAGCACAGCATGAAGATGCGGGGTTTGGAGGGATGGGGTCAAGAGTGGCTTGGTGTAACAAGTGATGGTGTTTAAGCTGAGTCTGAAAGAAAGCCCAGGAATTCCAAGAGGAGAAGATGAGGAAAGATGCATTTCATGCCTGAGGGCCAGCCAGTGCAAAGGCAGGAATCAGGAGGCGAGTGTGGCAGGCCTTGAGAGTACATGGAGGGGAGGAATCAGTCAGACAGAACTAATAGGGAGTGGGGCAGGCTAGGTTCTAGGTACCACGTGATGATGAAGGGTCTTGGGACCATGCCAGGGGAGGATTGGGGAAGGAATGGGGCATGTCCAGCCTGGGGAGGAGAAGATGCAGGAGTGGATGTCTCTGAAGGGCTGTTGTATAGAAGCGGGCTTAGATTTGTTATGTTGGGCATCAGGGGCACGACTAGGAGCAGTGGGGGGAAGGTCCAGGCAGAGCAACTTGGGCTTGAGGTACTGAAAGTCTTCCTCATCCGAGGTGGCCAGAGTGGAGGAGGCCATCTGGGGGCAGCCTTCCTCCTTCAGTTTTCAATGAAAGTCAATGAACCATAGAGTGGGGACTGACAGCCAGGTCCCAATGAATGCCAGTAGCAAATCCTGTGTCGGGTCTTCAGCATTTGAATTTTCGGTACTTGAAATTATAATTAAATGTGAGATGTGGTCATTGTTTCTAATGAAAATATGCAATGACAAAATTTGAGGGATGTAACTACTTTATGGGATTCATTATTTACACTAATCAGGACCTTGCTGTGTTCTTGGTCAGGAAGAGGTCCCTCTTCTACCTGAGCTACTGTCATTTCGTGACCGGTCTGTAAAAACTGGGTAGGAATTCTGCTGGCAACAAGGAAGGGGCAGAGAGACCATCGCAGACATCCGGGATAGCCAAGCAGGCTTGTGGGAGTGCTGCCTCTAAGCTTACTGTGGGGGCAAGAGGGAGAGAAATGATGAGAGATGGGGCTGCAGAAGGGCTTTGGGAACGAAGGAGAAGTATGGCCAGATGATTCTGGCAGCAAGTGAAGGCTGAACTGGAGAGAGCACAGGAGAACAGCCCTGTTCAGAGTCCCCAGTGACTAGAGAGGGAGGCATAGGTATCACAGATGGGTGGGTGGGTAGATGGAAGCCTGGTTGGATGGGTGGATGGCTTGAAAAGTGTTGATTAGGTGCTCATTTTGTAACCAATAGCACTGTGTAAGTGCTGGGCATACGAAGAGAAAAGCTAGACAGCCGCTGCTCTCAAGGAGCTCCCGCTCTCATTGGGGGAGGTGACACTCATGGAAAGTTTTAGCTTCAAGTCAGATGGAAAGACCCAGTGGTCCTCAAAATGCAAGGCAGACAGAAGCACTCTACCCTCTTTCTTATCATTGCCACTGACAAGTAAAACATCATCAGTTCCTAATGCTAAGCTGTTGACCAGGGCCAGGGATTTGGGAAGGAGAACTTTCTTTTCCCACTGATCAGGAAGAGGTATGGAATTCACCATGTGGGAGAGGCTTCAGGGGAGGGCCTGGGCTGTAGTGGAATGGGTAGCAGTTGGAAGGCCACAAGACACACGGGGCAGACTGGGGGCAAATAAGGATGGGCCCTGACTGGACAGGTGAAACACCCAGCTGGAGAATTCAGGCCAGAGGGCAGGACTGGAGAAGGGCATCATCTGCATGAAGGTAGTGGAGAGGTGAGGCCTTGAGACCCAGCAGCGAGGAGCACTCCTCAGAGAATGTCCCCATCAGGGTCCAGGAGGGGGGAGCGGAGAGGTCACTTTTCATTGTCAGCCCTGCTGACTTGGCCAGAGAAGGAGGCAAAAGCAGCTTTCCCTCTCCCAGCCCCGCTAACAAGACAGTCTCTTTGGGATCTTTTGTAGATGTCTGGGGAGGGGGGAGGAGCCAGCAGCTCACCCACCTGGAACGAGCCACCCCCCACTGGCAGGCTGCACCTGGAACAGCTGGAGGTGCTGCAAGTCAGGGCCAAGTTCCGTTGGCAGCTATCTCTAGTCCTCAGCCAGGCGGTTGGAGGCCCTCTCTCTGTACATCTGGGCCCCAGGCTTCCTTCCCTGGCTCTCACCTGAGAGGCCAGTGGCCTTCAGTTGGATTCCTTTTTCTTTATCTCCTGGCCACCCTGCTCTCCTCTCGCCCTCCAGGGCCCTTGCTGGGCTTCTTTTCTGTTCATCCAGACCCAGCCATCTTTCCCCATTCCATTTCCAGGCCCCAGAGTCAGAGTTCTCTTGGGACCTTCTTCCTGAACCCCCAGTATGGTCTCTCCATTCTTAGGGACTTAGGCCATCCCCTGGACATGGTGGTGCACTGCCCTTCCATCTCTCCATCCTGTTTGTTCCCCTTCCTCCAGGCTCCCCGTGAAAGTGGCCCATGGCCTTGTAGGGCAGACCTGAGCTCATTCCTAAGGGGACGGGTTTGAGCAGACCAGTCTGAGACCCTCAGGCCTCTCCCTCAAAGCTCCAGTGCTAGAACACACATCCCTCCCAGGCCGGTGCAGTCTCCAAGGTCCCTTCCGACCACAGCAATTCTAAATGTTCAGGATTCTTGGTCATTCCCAGAGGTTCAGTGATGCTTGAGGGGAGGAAAGAGCGTCAGAGGCTCCTTCTTAGCCAGGCTCATTGAGGGGCCAGTAGTGGGCCCTGGATGGGAGAACAGGATTAGAGTAATGTCCCTGGGAGGGACAGACGTGAGATTTCCAACGTCAGAGATGGAAGGGGAACCCAATGGGGCTACAAAGGAAGTAATGAGGTTAGCTCTCAACAAGCCTTTTTCCTTCCTTTTCTAGCCAAGAGAGTGAACGAGGTGATCGTGGGGAGTGACCAGCTCATGGAGATCTGAGGTTGCCAGTGTCTGCATCCCAGGACTGGGCAGAGGCCCGACCTTTGCCAACCACAACTACTTTCCTGTCTGGCAGTCTGTATTGCTCTCCCAATAAAGACATGTCTCCAGTGGACTCCATCGACTCCTGGGACTGTCCTGTCCTCAGACACATGACCAGTAGGACTTCACCATGAGGACCACACAGAATCTGCTGTTGAGCAGTGACACAGACCATCTGTGCTGATCTAAACAGAGGTTCTCCCGCCGCCTGGGAGCGCGGGAGCCCAGCCCCCCAGGACCCAGCAGCTTCCGGGTTGCATTTCCTGCCTGCTAGCCTAGGATGAGCACTCCCAGGGATTAGCTCTTAGCTCCTCTCCTTCCCCAGCCAAGAGAAACCTCTGAGTCTGTGACTTTGGGGTGGGGGCCCCCCCAGATCACTTGTACTGCTCCCACTGGCGCCTTCTTGAGCCCTGTCACCGCCGGAGGCTGCAGTTTAACAGTGACTGGCTAAACTGGTTGGGATCCAAGGTCAGGCTCTCCCAGGGCCTGCTGCTGATGGAGCCAAGTCAGAAAGGCCCACAGGGGTTGGCTAGTGCCCTGAAATGCCCTATTATTCACCAGCCCCATCCCCTGTATCTCACAGAAGGCAGGTGGGCAGAGGACCCTACCCTCCTTTCTCCTCTTCCCCTTTTTCCCTGCGCGAGATGGGAATATGGGGAGGTTTCTTCTCCTCCGCTTTTATGACCTGCAGGTGTTTGGTGGGAGATAAAAGCAGGTCCTGGGGTGAGATTTCATAGCCCAGAATTATCAAAGTGAAGGTCCTCCCAGTGGGTGGCAGCAATTAAGAAAAATAATTTGAAATAATAGTTTATACATTACTGCAAAAATCCCAAGGCCTGGGGAGTTAACACTGGCTCGCTGTCGATGTTGGTTGTTCCTGCCCTAGAGGGGTGGGAGGCGGAGGAGCTGCCTCCTCACCTGACCCAGGAGGGGCCACCCCTTATTTCCTCTTGTTCTCTCAGTTCCCAGGGCTGACCCCAGCCAGTTGAGGGGGCAGGTATATTTTCCTCAGCTAAATTGGAGCACAACATCTGGGATCTGGGAAGAAGTGGTAGAAGGAGCCTTGCCCCTACGCCCCTCCCCCAGGGGAGATCCAAGGGCTGAAGGGACCTCAGAGGGCATCTAGCCCAACAGCTGCCCGTTTTACAGATGCAGAAACTGAGGCCCAGAGAGAGAAAATGAGCTACCCAAGGACAGCTTGCCACACTAGTCAGACCACATTTTCTGCATTTCTGAATTCAGTTCTGGGAATCATATTTTAGGAAGAACATTGATAAGCTTTAGGCCACCCAGAAGAGGGTGACCAGGTGGGGAAGGGTCTCAGGATCACGCTGTGCCAGGATCCCCTGAAGGAACTGAGGCTGTTTAGAGAAGATCAGACTTAAGGGGGCCTGATGGCCGTCCTCCAGAGCTTGAAAGGCCATCCCACAGAAGAAGGATCCATTTGGTCCTGCTTGGCCCCAGAGGGCAGACCCTGGAGCAGGGTCTGTCATCCTGACTGTCAGGATGCTTCCAACCTGTCCCGAAGGAGAAGGGACTTCTCGAGAAGGCCATGAGCACCTCTCACTGCTGGACAGTGACCCTTTTGGGAGATGCCTATCAGCTTGGACTCTGTGGTCTCTGGTCTTTTATGGGTCCTTGAATGACCACATATGGAGACACACAGACTTGACTCTCCCAACGAGGCCTCCTGAAAGGCCTGTCCCTTCTGTCCCTTGGGCTGCTGTCACTGACCTCAGGTACCTGTCTACACCCACGACTGCAGGGGGCAAGGACCCTGAGGGCAGTGATTGGGGCCCAGAGGGAAAGTCAGCATGAAGCCCCTGAGAAACTCTTCCTCTCCAAGGGCACTGCTGGTGGGGTCTTTAACAACAAAATCGGGCAGCCACTCCCTAAACACCTCTCCTGAGGAGGGATGTGAAGGGGATGCTGGCAATGCCACTCCACACTCAGCAGGGCCAACTGTGTCCCCTCCCTAGACAAGCACTGATCACCTACCATATGCACGGGGGCTGCACAGGTGAGAGGGACAAGAACCCCATTGAAGTAACAAAAGGTGAGCCGTTTGCAGTGGATTTGAGGAGGGATTGGTCACTTTGGCCTGGGGAGTGCCCTGAGCTGGTCCTGGGAGGACTCAGAGGATTTTAGCAGGTGAAAGGAGTAGGGTGAACAAGGTCAGGGAGATGGGAGAGGTGGATCAGAGAGGTACTGCAAAAGAGCACGAGTGAAACTGCAGGATGGGAGCTGGATTGGAAAAGACCAGCCTAAAGAGGATGTATGTGCTTCTATAGGCACTAGAGAGCCATTGAAGGTTTCTGAGCAGGATAGTGATGAACTCATACCCTTTAGGAGCCTCTCAGAATAGGCCAAGTAAGAAACCATGAGAACAGGGAGGAAGGGATAGATGTAAGAGATGGCAGAGCTCTCGTGTGCAAGACAGCGTTTTTCATTTGATGGAGCGTGAGGGAAATTTCAGAGATCACTTGGCAGTTCCGGCCAGACAGAAAAACAATCCTTGGCTTTTCTGTGTTGCTTTATCCAAATATGATCTCATTTGATTCTCTCAAAAGGCCAGGTGGTCGAGGAAGAGCGTGGTGCTTCAACTGGCAGAACCCTGGACATCAGTAAAAGGAGTAGATTGAGGGAAGAAGGTGTGTTTTAGAAGTATTGAGCTCCAGAGGTCAGTCCGAAATCCAGGGAGACATGTCCTGCATCAGTCTGAGCAACCTGCAGGCCCCTGTTATGCTTGGGTCTGCCTGGCAGTCTCTGTAGCCCTAGGGTCCTCAGGTCTGGCTACATTGGACCAGGGCTCAGCAGGCCCCTTAAGTCTTAAGGCTCTGGAGATGGGATGGGGGATCATGGGGAAGGAATTAAGCCTGCCCTTCCAAGTTGTGCCTCAATCCTCCCTCTGGGGCTCCAGTTCATCGTGTTGGGAGCTGGAGGAGGAGGGCCCTGGGGGCTGCCAGATGGGGCACTGGCTCAGCTGGGGCTGCAGCTGCTTGCCACTTCTCCAGAATTCTGGCTTGGTTATTAACTTGATAACAGGAAAGATGCTGACTCCACTTGTCCCGCTTCCTCCCAGACTCTGGTGGACACCTATCACCCACTTGCAGATAGCATCCTGGGCTAACCTCTCTGGAGAAGGCTCACTAAGAACAGAACTATGTAGTCTCCCCTGAGCCTGAGGATGGGGGTGAGAGGAAGACCGCTGCACTTCTCCATTCTCTCTTTCCCTCCCCCAACCGCCAGCCCCCAGGGCCCATGAGCAGCCTGAGCCAAAGGCTTTGCCCAGAACTGAATGACTGGGGTTTTCACAGCCCTTCCTGGGGTGAGGGGAGGCCAGGTTGCAGGGGAGCCCACCAGCTGGGCTCTGCAGGCTCCTGAGAAAGGGAGGGAAGGGGAGTCCTTTTTCCAAATGGAGAGTGAGTAATTTGCCCCCAGCCCCCCTCCCCAAAGTGACTGGTGGTGTCTGCCTTAAGCTAGGCCTTTGTGCTCAGGCTAAATGGTTAATTGTATCTGAGGAAGATGTCCCAGCTCCGCCAGGCAGCCAGACCACCCAGGCGGTGGGCTGGAGAGCATGCCGACAGCATCCCCGGGATGTGGGAGTGGCTGAGGCCACAGAGGGTGGGAGGGAAGGGAAGAGGCTGGGAGGCCAGCGTTCCTGTTTGGAGGCCCCCACCCCGTCGGCCAGCCAGGATGCCTGCCCACACAAGAACCAAGCCGGAAATTCATAAAAAGAAAGCCAGGCCTTGGGGCTGCTATTTGTAGGGGACTTTTCTCCAGCTTCCTCAGCTGGCTTTCTTGGGCTCTTTGATGGCAGTGCTTAGGGCTGGGCCTGACCAGCCCTGGATGAAGGAAAAACCAAGACCAATGAGAAGTCCCTCTAGCCCCTGGCCCCAACAGGCAACAATCCCAGTGGCCCCTGCTACCTTCTGAGTGTCCTGGGCAAGCCTTAGGGGCCAGGCCCAGGCTGGCCATGGTGACTAAAAAGTTTCCTTTCCTGGAGGGTACATGTCATCCTGTACCCCCACTCCAATGGCCTCCACTCCTCCCCTGCACCATTACCCAGAAGCTAGCCCCCATAGGGTCTCTTGATACCCCAAGTGGGGAGGGAAAGCCTGCTGCCTGGAGGCTGGGGAAGGGGTCTGATATAGGCTGGTTAGACTGGACCCCTTCCCCCAAAGTGAGAGGAGGTGGGTATAGCTAGAAATAGCTAACTGGAGCACTGGGCTCATCCCCTCATTTCTCTTGGTTCACCACACCCCAGGGTACTGGGGAGTTCTCCTTGCTCGGTCACTGTGCAAGTCACTGCCCAGGACAAGACCTGACTTTGAGGCTGACCGTGAGGTGGGAGGAGGGTTTCCTGGTAATCCCTCTATGAATGTGTGAGGGAGGGAATATAAGTGGTTAAGTGTGTCTGCTACTAATAACCCCTGTAGTCAGGATGGAGTAGGTGTCATTCCTTCCAAACCTGACCAGTGCTTGTGTCTGGGCCCAGCTGAGGAAACCAGGAGTTAGCCTCCACAATGAACTCTCCCTCAAACAATTCCTTGCCCTTCTGCCTTTATAACTTTGCTTCTGCTGTTCCCCTGTGTGGATCACTCTCCTCTCTCAGCCAGCTGTACAGATCTCCCCACCACTACCCCTACCTGTCATAGGAAAGATGGGAGACCTCAAAGGCCGGGCTCCTGAAGGCAGTGGGAAGTATTTTGAACAGGGGAGTGACATGATCAGACAGTACATTATGGCAGAGCCTAGAGCCTAGAGGCAAGGAGACCAGGTAGGAGGCTAATGCAATAGTCCAGGCATGAATGACCTCAACCTTACAGGATACTTGGGAGTAAATGTGTTTACATATTAGTGGCACAGTGGGTAGAGCTCTAGACTTGGAGTCAGAAGAACCCGAGTTCAAATCTAACCTTAGACACTAACTAGCTAGCTGTGTGACCCTGGGCAAGTCACTTAACCTCTCCCTCAGTTTCCTTAACTGTAAAATTGGGATAAAAATAGCACCTACCTCCCAGGGTTGTTGTGAGGATTGAGGATCAAATGAGATACTTGTAAAATCACATTGCACACCTTAAAGTTCTATATAGGTGCTCGCTATTATTATTGTTATTATGTAAACAAATTAAGTATATTCAGGGTAATTCAAGGAGAAAAAACAGCAGCATTTGAGGGATCCTTGAAGGCTTCATGTAGGAAGGAGCCTGAGCTGAGCTTTGAAGGAAGCCAAGGATTCTCAGAGAAGGAAATGAGGAAGGGGGAGTCCCAGGCATAGGGGAGACTTGGTGCAAAGCCACAGGGACAGGGCTTCGTTGTCAAGCTGGGCTAGAAGGTAGAGGGCATATGCAATGAGTCTGGAAAGATTGGCTGGAACCAGACCTCCCAGGGCTTTAAATACCACAGTTGATTTTGCGTTTTACTCTGGAGGCAATAGGGCACTGCTGAAGGCTTTTGAGCTGGGAAGATGAGGTTAGGGTCTCCCCAGCAAGGTGATCCCTTATTCATTCAATAACATTCCAAGCCTCTGGTATGCTGAGGGCCCTGCGGAGACTACAGATGGATAAAATGGCGGATCCCTGCCCTCCAGAATTTACCTGGAATTCTCCTTATGCTAGGTAGCCCTCCCCTTCCAGACTGCGGTCATGTAAATGGAAAGCTGAAGAAAAGAAAAAAACATGAAAGTAAACGGTGTGACCAAAGTTGGCCACAATGAAGAGAGAAGAAAACGCACCTCACGGCCGTTCTTTGCAAAAGCAGGGGACTACGGATAGGGAGCACTGCATCTACTATCCGACTTGATGTGTTGGTTACTTTGACTGAACTCATTGGATTAACTGTTATAAGGTGGGGCTGGAAGAGAGAGATAATTGAGCGATGAAAAGAAATAAAAAGAGAAGATCGGTGCAAACATTGCTTTGTAAGGAATTTTTTTTAAAAGAACGTTTGTTTTGTTTAATTGAATTGAGTTGCACTTAGTGGAACGGCAATGAATGGAGGTCCTGAGCCAATCAGAGGCCAGACTGCTGGGGGGAGCTGTCCTCGGTACCGCCTCTCGGGTCTCTTGGGCCCCCTCTGCTTAATCCAGGCTGAGTCTGGGAGCACCTGGATGGGGCGGGGGCAGGGACAGAGAGAGGGGGGAACGGGGGAGGGGCTCTGCCTCCTCCGCTGCCTGGGTGGTCCCGGCCCCGCCCCGACCCCCGCGGCTCTGTCGCCTAGCAGCGGGCGAGGCCCTGCAGCCAATGGGATCGCGGCCCTCCTCCAGGTCCGCCCCCTCCCCTCCCTTTTCTGGGGTCGCGCTGCCGCTGGCTGAGCAGAGCAAGAGGAGCCGAGTGGCGTCGGCCTGGGGCCGGGGTCAGCTGCGCGCGGAGGATGGAACCCGAACCCGAGCCCGAGCCGCCGTGCCGGTAACGCGGGGCTGCCCGGCCCGGCATGGCCCCGGGGGAGCTGCTGACCTCCGGCCCCGAGCCCCCAGCGCAGGTGAGCCAGCCAGGGGAGCGTGACAGGTGGGCGCGCGTGGGCTTGGGCATGGAAAGGGAGGCCGCCGCGGCTGCCGGGTGGGCATCTGTGGACACGCGTGGGGGGCCCCACGCGTGCGTGTAGCCCACCAGCTCACCTCTGTGCCGCCCCACGGGGCTCTCTCTTTGCCTCTCCCCCGCAGAGCCGGGCCCCTCTCTGGCTGCGCGCCCACGTGGGTGGCCTGCTCTTCAGCCTGGGCTGCGCGATCCAGCGGCACTGTGGCAAGGTGCTTTTCGTGGGGTTGCTGGCCTTCGGGGCCCTCGCACTGGGCCTGCGTGGGGCTGCCGTAGAGACAGACCTGGAGCGCCTCTGGGTGGAAGGTGAGACTGTCTGGCCTGGCCTTGGGGGTGGGACACGAGGGGCAGTCGTGGGCTTGATGGTTCGTCCCAGCTGACCTGTCAAACATAGGGTGTGGGCCCACCAGCGTGGACCTCAGCGGCTGCGGGGAGGGTCAGGCAGGAGCAAAGCTTCCTTTCCTGGTGGAAACGTCGGATCAAAATGGTGTCTTTGTTTTTATAAATTCAGCTGGTTCCTTCTTTCTCTTCTACCGGGCCACTGGTGGTTCCCCCCACACTCCTCCTTCAGTGGGAAGGTGGCATTCCTGCCCCCCCCAGGTCGGAGTCTCACCCCGCCTTATCAGTGCGGAGTTCAGACCAGATGGTTCTTTCCCAGTGTGCGCCTGCCTCCTCCCAGCCTGGCTTGCTTCAGCCTCAGTGTGCACTTGAGCCCATCGCTGCCTGGGTGGTCCCAAATGGCTCTTGGATTTCCTGCCATAATGGAAGCCTCCTTCCTCCCTCTCCCCTGCCCAGCTCCATGAGGCTGCTCCCCTCCATGCAGCTCAAGCGGCCCCCCTACCTGCTTCCCAGGCTCAGCAAGGGGCCTTGTTCCTAGAAGAAACTTTTCTCCTCCTGGGTGGCACCCAGCTCTAGGGGCTTTGCTTTATGTCCCAGGGATGGGACCCCCCCCGAACTCCATGGCCCTTCATCCTGGCTGGCAGGAGGAACACAAATCTTGGCCAACTCTCTATTGCTCAGATTTAGACCCCCCTTATTTTTGTGTCCTCCACCTTCAAAGCTGTTCCAGCCCAAGACTGAGGCTTTGCTCTAGGGTCTCCTAGGGAGTCTGACCTACCCCATCACTGTTGGGGAGAGAGAATGAAGCCAACCTGGGGAAAAATAGGGGCTATTTCCGGGCCCTCCTGGACTGGGAGGAGGGGCATCAGGCTGTAGTTTCTCCATCTACTTTCTTCCTGCTTGGGTCTCCTATATCCTTACCCAGGGTGCCCAGTACAAGGGCTGCTGTTCCCTGTCCTCCATCTCTGAGTATACATAGGTGCTTCTATCTTCCCTTTACCATCCAAGTTAGCCTGGTTATGCAGCTTCCCCACCATCACACACATCCCACACTTATGTGTGAACATGACCATCACATTCAGCCTTGTGTCTCTCTTGTATCACAGCTATCTCTGTATGACAGGACTTTCTCTTCTAACCCGGAGACTTCTTTTGATCTCTCTATGGCACTCTCTCCAGATCATCAGTCCCTTTCCTTTATCCTCACCCTTCTGACTTGCTCACACAGGGTCTGTCTTCTCTCCTTGTCCCACACCACACACATTACAGCTCCTTTCTGACCACAGTGGGGTTAGGCACGCTTTCCTCACCCTGGCTAAAAAACAAATTGCAAGAAAAACTACAGTGATGTAGCACGTGGTGTTGGGGACAAATGTGGGCATAGGACAACACTGGGAAAGGGGTACTCAGGATGGTCATAGTAGAAGTGTAAGGAGTGACTTGGGGTTTGAGTGCTGGTAGCATTGTGCTGGCAGCATAGATTCAGTTTGGTCTGGAGACCTTAAAGTGAGGGAAGCATTAAGAGATAAGGCTAGATAGGGTAGACTGAGGGATAGGGAGCAGGCCTTATCAGGCCCCAGAGTGCCAGGCTGAGTCTAGATTCTGACTGTAGCCAGTAAAGAGCCACTGAAGACTTTTGAGTGGAGGAATTAAGTCAGAGCTGAGCTTTAAGTAGGGAAAAGCCAGATGAGTCAGGAATGTGTTGTGGAGGTCCCAGTGGTCGGTATTAAAGACCCAAACTGGGGTGGCAGCAGTGGGAATGGAAGATCTGGGTGGTCTCTCTGGGAGGGTGGCATTCCTAAAGCCTGGAGGCATGGGAGGAGGGAGGGGCCAAGAACACCCAAAAGCTCTGGGGGGGGGGAAGGGAAGGGGGGGAAGGAACTGGTTTGGGAGGCCCTGCCTGTGGAGAAGGCTTCTTCTTGAGTTATGTACCCCCTCATGGGCCTCCCTGGCCTCTGTGCCCCAGCTGTGTCCAAGGCTCTGGTGGGGTCCTATGTCTGGGTGCTGGGGTGGTGGAGCCTGGCTTATGTCAGGGGACACAGTATCTCCCGTCTTTCAGACAGAAATGTTGCTACCTATGACTAGTGGAGCCATATCCTTTTGTATCTCAAAGCCTAAAGCAGCTGGCCCCCTCAGCCCTGTGCTGGGCTAGCCCCAACACCTGCTTCCCTTGCCACCACCTATACCCTAGATTCTCAGGCATCCCCAAGGTACTCAAGTTTAGTGAGAGTCATTGGTGTGAACAGGAGACTAAGGAAGGCGGGGATACCTTAGGCTAGTAGGTTGGGTCCCAGCAGGAAGGTAATAGGCCCAGTGACTGATCACAGCTGGAGGACAATGTCCACTTCTGCCATAGTTTAGGAGGGACCACAGGCTCATACATGTGGAAGCTGGGAAGCACCAGCCACCCCACCCCTCATTTTGTAGGCAAGGACTCAAGGCCCAGAAAAGTTGAGGCATTTACTCAGGGTCACAGTAAAGTGATTGAAGGTCCTTTGATGCCAAAGGACATCGCATAATCTAGGGAGCATCGCAAGGAGGGAGAGATACTAGCATGCTGAAGGGCCTCAGTGAAGACCAAGCTTGGAAGGATTTGTGACATTGGGGATCATAGCACATCATAGAGAAGAAGGGACTCCCCTTCCCTTTCCCTTTACAGGTGCAGGGATTGATGATCAGAGAGAAGTTATGTGACTTGCCCAGGGTCATCTGGCTAGTTGGTACTGAGGGCAGGATTTGATCCCAGGTCTTCCTATTAATAGCAAGGAGCACTTTTAAAATTTGCAAAGTAATTTTCACATATGTGTCAATATATATGTGTATAAACTCATTTGATTTTTATAACCACTCTGTGGGGTAGGTGCTCTTGTTATCATCCTTGTTTTATAAATGAGGAAACAGAGAGAGGTTAAACATTTTGTCTGGGCTCACACACCTAGCAAATGTCCAAGGTTGGATTCAAACTCATGTCTTCTAATTCCAAAATTCTATGCTCTCTCTACCACATTAGCTTGGAAAAGAGATGGTTCTTGGGATGAGGGGTGAAAACTCAGAGGAATGTGGAAGTATTGGGGTCCATGAAAGTCAGGGGGCCCTGGGGAGCATAGATTCAATAGTAGGAATTAACTGGGGGGTGGGGTGGGGAGCAGTGCAGAAAGGCAGGTTGAAATGCTGATCCAAAGTGGAATTGGCTGCCTCAGGAGGTAGTGAGCTTCTCATCTCTGGAGGTCTATCAAATGAGAAAATATTCGCACAATGCTTTGCAAACTATGTAAATGCTAGCTAGTTATTTTTTAAGCAGAGGCTGAACGCTCACTGGCCAGGGTTGCTGTCTCTAGAGACTGGACTGGGTACTTCTGAGGGCCCTAAGCGCTCTGAGAGTCCATTGCTGGGACTGCCTTCATCATCGTTCTTTCTCTCATTCATCCCTTCTCTTTCCCCAATTTTCAGTCTCTTCTTTTCCTTCACTGGTTCCTTCCCTTCTGAACAGGAAGGAAGTCATCCCTGGTTAGACCTCGTCTATCCCCCCGACTAGTGCCTTGTGTGGTGTACTCTCCTCCTCTCATTTGCTGCTTGCCAGCCTTCTCTGGGGGAAGCTCAGGGCCCTGGAGTCTTGCCTTCCTCACTGCCATCTCACTGAAGTGTTCCTCAGTCTTTAGCATTCTTGCTGCTATCCTCAGCTTGCTGGCCTGCCTCCTAGAACGTTTCTAGAGCCCCAAGGTCATTTGGATGGGCCCAAACTCACTAGGGCAAGACCCTGGACCTTCTTTTATCTCCAGATGCCCAGCTCTATGTTCCTCTTCTCACCTGCCACCATCATCCACATCCCTCCCATCAAAGCCTGGTGCAGGAGGATTTCCCAGATGGAGCCTTTTTGGTCCCCCTGCAGCAGCTATGCTGATGACCCTCCCCTGGATTCTCTGGGTTTTTCTAAAAATTACTTTTCCCCTACATGTCCTGACCTTTCTTCCCTCTTGTCCCCTTTAAGAAAGGGGTAGTGCAGAGGGCATTGCCCAGTGCCTTTATAATCTTATTTCCCTTTGGAAGCTCAGAGCTGGGTGGGCCTCAGAAGCACATATAACTCATAGCTATCCAGACTCTTTTTGCAGACTTCTTATGCAGGGGAATTCGCCTTCTTCCTGAGCAGCCAAGTGCTCTCCAGGGGGCACTCATCATGAGGAAGGTTTTCTTTATGTTGAACCCTTTCATCTTTTTGCACCCCTCCATGCTCCTGGTTCCCAGCTTCAGCCATCATTATCCCCTGCATGCCCAGAACCTCCAAGCCTTTAGATCTCTCTCCCCGAGCCTCCACATTACATCTGGTGGGCTAAGGACTATACTGGAGTTCAAATCACTCCAGCTGTGTGACAATGGACAAGTGACTACTCTCTGAGCCTCAGTTTCCAACACTGCAAAATGGGGTTAATAATACCTATGATATCTGCTGCCCAGGCTTGTGGTGAGCTTAGCTCAAATGGAAGTGAGTTTTTTAAATAAGATTTTAATTTTTCCACAATTACATGCAAAGACAATTTTTGATAATCTTTTTTGGGGGGGGCAGGTAGGTGGCGCAGTGGATAGAGCACTGGCCCTGAAGTCAGGAGGACCTGAGTTCAAATTTGACCTCAGACCAAACAGTTGACACGTACTAGCTGTGTGACCTTGGGCAAATCACTTAACCCCACTTGCCTTACCAAAAACCAAAACCAAAAAACAAACAAACAAACAAAAAAACAATCTTTTTGTTTAAAGTTTGAATTCCAGATTTTCTCTCTCCCTCTCTTGCCCTTTCTCCCTGAGACAGTAATCAATTTGATAAAGGTCATACATATGCAATCACACAAAACATATTTCTACAATTGTCATGTGAAGACAGACCAAAAGGAAAAAAAAAATCCACAAAAAAAAAATAAAGTAAGTAAAAAATGGTCTGCTTCAATCTGCATTCAGACTCAGTTCTTTCTCTGGAGGTGGATAGCATTTTTCATCATAAGTCCTTTGGAATTGTCTTGGATCATTGTGTTACTGAGAATAGCTAAGTCATTCACAGTTGATCATGGCACAATGTTGCTGTTACTGTATACAATGTTCACCTGGTTCTGTTCACTTCACTTTGGATCAGTTTATGTAAGTCTTGCCAGGTTTTCCTGAAATCTGCCTGCTCATTATTTCTTATAGTACAATAGTATTCCATTACAAATCAAAGTGTTTGCAAAACACCAAGGAACCTTGAGCCCTTATTGTAAGCCCCTGGAGGTACCCCCCCCCCCATCCAGCTGAGTACTTTCTGCCAAGCCTCTTCCACACTGTCCCACCCAGGCTCAAGCCCTCTCTGTGTCTGCTCTGATGATTCTTACTGACCTCATGAGCACCTCCGAACCCTGAATTCTCCCCTTCCTCCACTTTCTTCTGTAACTCTCTGGTCCTAGTCATATAAACTTTGCTTCTCAACCTTCCCTGGCCCCACACTATTTAGTGAATAAAAGCCCTGGGGTAGCTCAGTCTAAATTCTAGAGCCGGCCACAGTCAGGCCTCATTTTTTCCTCCTGTGGCCCCATTGGCCTCCAGGATCTCCCCAGGTGGTGCCTCCTGTCCTTTTTTTCCTTCCCTACCCTCTTTGGCCCTGTGGCCTCCACTCTTAGCATCCCTTCGTAGAAAGCTGGTGCTGATGCCCTCAGCCAAGCAGTGATCCTGGCCACAGGCAGGTTTGGCCTGTGGATGTTTATTTGATGTTTGTGGGGTTTCTGTCTGTGCCTCCTCCCCTTCTGCTCAGCTATGAACTCTTTAGAAGAGCCAGCCAGGCTCCTTGTATCTCTCCCACTATCACGCTTAGGGCAGGGCGCTTACCGGAGAGTAGTGCCAAAGCCAGGACCAGTGGTCTGTGGCAGGCTGGGTTACCCAGCACTCAGGGCTGACCTGATACCTTCCTCCTCCTCTGTCTGGAGACAGCGGGCAGCCGAGTGAGCCAGGAGCTACGTTACACAAAGGAGAAGCTTGGGGAAGAGGCCGTGTACACCTCCCAGACCCTGATCCAGACTGCCCGTGGAGCCAGCGAAAGCGTCCTCACCCCTGAGGCCCTGGGCCTCCACCTGCAGGCTGCCTTGGCAGCTAGCAAAGTCCAAGTTTCCCTCTATGGAAAGTGAGTCTGGGGCCTGGACCAGAGTTGGGGGGGGGGAGGGCTAGGCCAGGAGAACTGGAGCTGGGGGTGGCCAGGGCTTGGGATCAGGGAGGGCCTTAATTCAGGGACCCCTCCTCACAACCCTTCCATCTCATCTACTTCCTTCTAGGTCCTGGGATCTGAACAAAATCTGCTACAAGGCAGGAGTCCCTGTCATTGAGAATGGGATGATTGAACGGGTAGGTGGTCAGGGGAGTCCAGCAGGAGGCAGCTGGGGAAGGGTGGAGGGAGAAGGAGGCTAGCAATCCAGGCAAAGTAGCCTGACCAGGGCACACTTTTCTGGCAGATGATTGAGAAGTTGTTTCCCTGCGTGATCCTCACCCCACTGGACTGCTTTTGGGAGGGAGCCAAACTTCAGGGGGGCTCTGCATACCTACCGTGAGTGATGCTCTCTTTCTTCTCCACCCTGGGCTGAGGGGGCACCTGGCCATCCAGGACAGGGGAGTGGTCCAGGGCTGCAGCCAGGCCTCTGGGCATCCTCATCCTGGCACAGGCTGTCCTGTCTGGGTATGGTTGGGAAGTAAACTGGCTGACAGGTGCCCCTACAGAAGGGCACCCCACGCATGCAATGCATGGCAGACTCTGTCTCTGGCCAGACCTGTGGGCATCAGTCTGTGTGCGTATCTAGGCATAAGCACATATGTGGGAAATGAGGGCCATGAACCAGCCTCCATCTAGCCAGGAGCTCCTGCCCAATCTTAGCCAGTCAGGCCTCCACCCTCCACCTTGTGTCTCCACTGTGGGTTGGGGGCTTTGGAGGATTTGTCCCCCGTCCCCCAGAGAAAGGTAGTTATGCAAATAACTAAACAAATGAATTTAGGGGGAGAAACCAGGAACAGGAGTGAGGGCCCAGGGTAGGACTGGGGATTCACAAGCCTTCCTCCCCTTTCTTGGTCTAGGGGCCGACCAGATATTCAGTGGACCAATCTGGACCCTGAACAACTTCTGGAAGAACTAGGCCCCTTTGCCTCCCTCGAGGGCTTCCGGGAGCTCCTGGACAAGGCCCAAGTGGGCCAGGCCTATGTTGGGAGGCCCTGCCTGCACCCTGATGACCCCCACTGCCCAGCCAGTGCGCCTAATCACCATAGCAGGCAGGTATGTGAGTGTGGGAGGGAGGGATCATGAAAGGGGGCCCAGTGACCCCCACCCCAAGGGCCACCAGCCCCATCCAGTGGCAAAGCCCATGTGAGGACCAATTCTTTTTCCCCTTGCTTCACTTGAGCTTGGAACTTTTCACTTGAAGTTTGAACTGGGAAATTAAGAGAAAGGAATAGGGAAAAACAAACAAACAAACAAAAACCAGATGAGTTTGTGGAACCCAGGCATGGTCCCCCTGCCCCCACCCACACCAGGTGCCTGAGCTGGATGGTCGATCAGGGTCCATCCAGCCTGGCTCTTTTTCTAGGGGACACTCACCGATGATCTTGTTTACCTAGGGCTTTCTAAGTGGGTCCAACCACTAAGAGACCCAAAGTTTGGGAACTCCTGGGCTAGACCATCCCAGGCAACATCTTCCCAAAGGAAAGAGTGTTTTCCCTGTGCCAAGTACCCTGGGCATCAAGCCCTACCCATCTGCTCTGTCACCCTCGGGGTATAGCCCACCCTCCTGGTCTTCCTCAGGTCCCAGACATCGCGCGGGAGCTGAGCGGCGGCTGCCACGGCTTCTCACGCAAGTTCATGCACTGGCAGGAGGAGCTGCTGCTGGGCAGCCCGGTGAGGAGCCCTCAGGGCCGGCTGCTCAGGTGGGGAGCCCCCGAGGGAGGGGGGGTGCGGGGTCCCTGCGGCTCAGGGGCTGCTCAGTGGGGGGCAG